AAGGTTCTCAAACACCACCGTGCATCAGAAGCACCTGGAGAGCTTGCGACACTCAGACCACTGGGCATCATACCCTGAGTTTCTGAGCAGCAAATCCGGGGTGAGACCTAAGACTGCATTTCTAACATGTTGCCAGGAGATGCTGCCGCCGCTGCTGGTTGGGGCCCGTGCTCAGAGAGCCAGTGCTACACAGGCAGCAGAGGCAGGAAACAAGCCATCGCTCTCCTCCCTGCCGCACTCCGCTTAGTGGAATGTATATACGGATCTCTCCGCATTTTGATTGCTAGACTTGGAGGGGTATGCAGAGAAATGGCAGGTGCTATGGAAAAAAGAAAAATGTCAAAATGAGATAAAATAAAAATAGAAATAAATGATTTAATTGGGATAATTGTATTTGAAGAAGAAAAGAAAAATATCGTTTAGTGAATGTTTTCACTACAGCAGTGTTGACTGGGACTGGGGTTCTCTGTGTCTCTGAAGGCTGGGGCAAGCCAAAATTAGAATTAGAGCGCAGTAAGAAAAATTGAGTTTCGGAATATTGAAACGCTGCTAAGCACTGGTGGAAAGTGTATAACTTCTGTTTCCGAAGATGTCTTGACTCGGGCGATTTGAAAGAATCCTGGAAGGAATAGGGATATGGTTGGATCAGCATCAATTTTCCCTTAGGTTTTCGCCCAGCAACACGATGTCTAAAAACACAGGCCATTGTCTCTCGTTACGTGGAAGGTTTATGTTTTCACCAACCCCAACAAAGAATACCATGGATTCAGAGCATGTTGTTTGGTGAGAAATGCAAATCTAAGCCTTACAGAGAATTCCGTAAGATGCTCTTTTGCCTTTTTGAAATATTCTACTGGTAATTATTCATTCTAATAGTCAACTACCAAGGGAATCTGTGCCCTAGTAAATGTTTCCATTTCTGCCTCAAACTTATTTTCAGTTGAAAGTTTGTTCACTGGTGTTCGATGCTAGTATTTGAGTTTTTATAATTAAAAATTCCTAGATCTCTTCTGTAAATATCTTATATAATAGACATATTTAAGTTATATATTAAAATTCATCTTAACTATGTACTTTACTGTACTTCTACTGGATAAAAAAAATGTTCTCACCTCTTTGGGCAAAAAGGAAGCATAGTAACAGTGACTGGTCATGTTAACATTAATACAATAGTATATTTGATGCTGAAAAATAAAAGGTTACAGATAAATGTCAAATGAAGGCGAGCTATTTTAAAAATTCTCTGATGGATTTGTCTAAAAAAAATGTTGCTTTGGGATGAGTTCGGTTGAATTTCAGAACCCAGGGAACAAAGGTTTCCATCTCAATTATGTCAAGATGAACTCACACAAGGCACAAACAGCCCCCAAACTCAAACCACTCATCTCCCAAAGACAGCTGCCCTTCTTGAACAAATGGAGGTGGGAAGGTTGCTAGGTATACTCACACACACCTATAGAAACACACTGCATGTATATACCATTTCTGAACAAACTATCTTAAGATAATGATAATCAGGATTTTACAAGGTGAGATCATTAATATGGAAAAACACATTTATAGATTATAGGTCTTTGCTATTATAGATTGAGTTCTGGGAAAAGTTCATATCAAACACAGACTAATTATCTATAAACCTCTGAGAAGAAGAAACGCTTTAAATACGTATGTTTATTTATATGCTATTTTATGTTATATTTACATTTGAAGAACGCTAACAGTGTAACACATCCTTGAGACTCAAAGCATCATCCACTGACCGCCAGCATCAGCATCACCCAGGAACTGGTCAGAAACTCAGCCACGCCCCAGACCTACCAAAGCAGAATTTGCATTTTAAATGATTCTCAGGTGATCTGTACACCCTTTAAATACTTAAAGTGTAAGGAGCTCTCGTCAAAATTACCGGTATTTTTTCTGCATTGTTTGCTGCAAGACAGCTTTGTCTGCTAATTCAAACTGTGATATACAAAACTGTTAGTTTGGTGATTGTTAAAGTTCTAAACAGACTTAAAGGTTCTAGCCAGATACTGAAAACCATCCAATAACCATTACAATGTTTAAAGGGGACAAGAAGGCAATCTGTTTATTATACCAGGCATACGATCAAGGTGCAAACTTAAAATGTTATTCAAAATAACACCGCAACAGTCACTTAGTTAATATGTATTTCAAATCCGAAATGGTAAGTCACCCTAACTGCGTATGATAAATATATTACCATGAAATAAAGGCACCATTATGTTAATGATGGATTACGCATTAAAAAAAATTTAAGAAGTTACAAGATACTTTTATTGGTACTAAGTATCTCTATGCATCATCTGCTCTTTTAAACATCTTGTTTCAATCCTGCTTTAAATCCTGGGGGAATCCAAGATGGTTTCTGCAGGACAACTGAGGATTCTTCCCCTCCGCAACTTGGCTCTTCTTGCAGGAGGTGCTCTAACTGCACCCTCCTCCCCCTCCAGGTACTGTTTAAAGAGTAAAGAGTTAAGGGGATGAAAAGAAACAAGACCCTGGGCCATAACCTGGGTAGGAAGTCTCACCAAGCTAAGGCTTCTGGTAAGGTAACTGACCTGTCCTAGCTACAAGGATAACCGTTTCTACTGGAACTAATAGAAATTCCTTGGTAGCTAGAGATTTTAATTACAGGGAGTAAAAAGATCACCTGCTACCCCAGGACTGTTGGAAATATGACTGTTCTCCATGATGTATTTGGTCCTGTTGCAGTTAATGTTATTGAACATTTGTATGCACAACACACACACATATACCCCCATATACTGAGATATGTGCACATTTTAAAATAATTAACATCATAGAAAAAAAAAGAAGCCTTGTAGAAAACCACATAAACATGTAAAAATCTTCAAAATTTAAAGTAAACAATGAGGACATTATAACTGCATTGAGAATAATCTCTTAGCTGAAATCAGATGTTTTAAAAACATGGGCCGAAAGCAACCACGTAACTAGCACTTATAAGACCATTCCATACTGGTGTAAGGAACACGGTGATAACGGACCTCCTGCCAGTAGGGCCACATTGTAGTCATGCCACATATAATTTTAAACAGAAACGTTTATGTCTTAATTATAGAATCAAAACTTTGTGATATGAACATGTAAAAAATCAGTTTCCCCAACCCTCATATCCAGTGAGGGGTGAAACATCACACCGCGCAGGGAAGGGGTAAGACTGAGACTTTGGAAAAGTTGGCTTCCCATTCTGCTTCTACATTTGTGGCTCTGTGGCCTCCGGCAAGTTTCTTAGCCTCTCCTCTCTTTGTCTGTGTTTTCTCACTTGAAAAAGTATGTTTTTGTGACTGTAGCAGAAGACCAGGTAAAGTACCCAGCATGGGGCCTGGCACGCAGCGTGGTCAATGATAGCACACATTTTGTCATTGTAATCCTTACTAGTAGACATATGCAAATGGAACCACCATTTCACAAAACATCATTTATTGCTTTACAACCTCATTATGGATATTTCCCAGCCCATTGCAAAACCAACTTACCTTTGTCAAGTCTCCTATAGAGATGCCATTGAATTTTAAGGGATTTAGAACAGACTCATTCAATCTACCAACTCCATGGAATGTTCAACAGAAATGTTTTAAAGGCATCAACTTGATTCGATTGCTCATACAGTGAAATGTATTGAGAATTCTTTCCCACTTCTTAAATATTTCAGTCCCTCTGCTGCTTCCATAAGTAACCTCAGGGAGGAGACACAGATTCAAGTAGAGGATTTATTCACACTTGTGCTACATCAGAAGAGGCTTTGGAGAGACAGCATCAGCGTGCAGGCTATCAGAATGGTCTGAGACCACTGTGGGCATAACATTTGAGACAAGCCGGTGAGGTTAATTTATTACAAATGATTCCCCAAGGACCCAGAAATACTGATCTTGCTGCAGTCTGAATGGGCTAAGTTGATGTGCTGCCAAGAAATTCTTCTCCTGGTTGGTTGTATAGCTACAACTATAAATCCATTGCAAATGGAGGGAAGGTATCTGTGTTTACATCTGTCTGCACTAACAGAAATAACATTCAGACACACTGATGTTACAGTAAGTTTAAAATGAATTCTTCTTTGTTACGTCCTGACTAAATTCTTGCTCTCTGAAAACAGGCAGTACAGTTTTTATTGCATTTAAATTTTTTTTTTTTTGTGAAAAGAAGGAAAAGGATTTCGAACTTAACTTTTCATGAACAGCCAAAGGGTCATTCTGCCTGTAACATACATCACTGTCATGTAGGCATGTTATGCATTCACAAATTTTATCATTAAAATAGGGGACCACCTGTTTCAAATGCATTTTGCACCACAGATGATATGAAAAAACTTGGTCTATAACATTTAATTCTAATTGTCTCAATCAAGAATACCTATTAATACATTCTTAGATAGAAATAGTAAAAGTAATGCTTTCATATTTCACGATAGCTTCACATTTATTTTTCAGAATATACTAAAATAAATTTAATCTACTTTTAATAGCTGTTATTAATATTTTTGTCTTTTTGTTTCCTGAAAACAATCAGACTGTAGCTTAAGAAACTGGTGGATCTAATCAGTCCTATGTCATATGAAATTCAAAACATATTTTATGGTTTGTTTTAGAAAGGAATATTGCAAAACCGTATTGAAAAATGACTCCTTTGATTCCGGATTTACATGGCAACATCTGAAACTAGTGGTCTAGCTAACACAGGCAACCATGCAGAGTTGCAGCATTTAAAGAAGTACCAAAGTAATTCTCATGAATGGTAATTGCTGAGCAGAGAGAAAGAATGAATAAGAATGGGTTCATGGTTTCAGTGTTGGTGACTTATTACTGAGTTCAAGTTAACAAAATCAGGTCCCTTCCAAACATAATTATGTAAACTATTTTTGTCTGCTTGAAAGGGATCATATTCCGTTAGACACATGCAGCATTGAAACTCTAATCTTCATGTTAAGAAAAAGTCTGGAAAAAGTAATTCTTTCTCAATTTTCCTCAATAACTCAGATTTATTTTAAAGTCCAGGTAAAAACTCTGGGACTCATTTACTTTTTATAAAATCCTGGTCATATCATATCCCTTCCTTTCCCACCCACCAGCAAACTCCAAACAAAATATAAAGCAAAAACCTCTGCCCCCAAACACAACAAAATAATAACTGAGCGAAGAACTCAACAATTTCTTTTAAATGGTGAAAACACTGGTAACATTTTCACGTCAATCACTTAACTCATCTAAACGCTGTCCTTGTTTCACCAGTGCTAAGTGCTCCGTGGCTTGGCAGAGAATCCAATGCAAAGAATGCAAGGGAAGCATCCGACCCCTGGCCGGGCAGTGGAAGTGCTCGGTAAGTGCAGGACCCTCCTGGGCCGACCCTCCTGGGCGGACCCTCCTAGGCGGACCCTCCTAGGCCAACCACGGCTACACGTCGCTGGGCGAGCGCGCTCTTTGGGCGATGCCGGACGGGATGCAGCCGCAGCAAATGAGGCAGAGGGCTTTCTGGATCTCCTGGTTTCTGAAAGCATATATGACAGGGTTGATGATGGAATTGTAGGTGGCGGGCAGGAGGGTGGCGTAGGTGTAGATGGAGGGGTAGGTGTAATCCGCTATCAAGGAATAGAGGGTGAAAGGCATCCAGCAGGCGGCGAAGGTCCCCAGGATGATGGCCAGGGTGGAGACCCCTTTGCGCGTGGTCACGTAGTGCGACGTGGCCAGGAAGTGGTGCTGCAGGGCTATCTGGTGGGCGTGGCGCATCACGATCTTGCAGATCTGGACGTAGAGCTGCAGCATGAGCGCGAACATGAAGAGGAAGGAGACCGAGAGCACGGCCGTGTTGTTCTTGGTGAGCGGTCTGACCACGCTGCAGGTGGACTCGTCCCGCAGGCAGTTCCAGCCCAGCACGGGCAGCAGCCCCAGGCAGATGGAGGTCCCCCAGAGCATGACGAGCATGACGTAGGTGAGGGTGACCGTCCGCTCCGAGTGGTACGTCAGCGCGTAGTACAGCGAGAGGTAGCGGTCCACCGTGATGGCCAGCAGGCTGCACACTGAGGCAGAGAAAGAGGCGACGATGAGGCCGATGGTGGCCAGCTTGGCGGCTTCCGACTGCAGCAGGTAGGCAAAGACAAAATTGACGACGAGGCCGATGCCGGCCAGCAGGTCCGCGAGAGCCAGGCTGCCTATGAGCAGGAACATGGGTGCTCGCAGGCTGGGGTTGTGGAAGATGATGAGGACCACGATGGCATTTTCACAGGAGATGAGGGTTCCCGAGGTACACAGGACGACGTCCCAGGGGTTGACCGCCAGCTCGGGCTCGGGCTCTCCGGCGGGAACGCGGGAGGAGACAGCAGCTGAGACGTTCTCGGCGGCAGCGGCGTCTAAGTAATCCCGAGGCAGCCCGCTTGCATTGACCTCCAGGTCTTCACTCATTTTAACCCCTGTCCTCTTCAACGAAAAGACAGGCTTTTTGATGCGCAGACCCAGCAAGGCGACAATCCGAGATCATGCAGGAAACACACAGACAAGCAGAAAGCCAGCCGCGGCTCCGACACCAGCATCTCAGATGCCACAAGCTTCGGGAATTTCACTGTTGTGAAACGAAACAAAAGCCAAAGTGTCGGTGGTTTAAAGCCCGCGACAAAAACGCCGTTCGGCACCGGCGCGCGGGGAAGCACGGGGTCGCACACGGGCGCGCGGCGGGCTGTGCGCCAAAGCGCCGCGGACGCACGTTTGGGAACCACGTCTCGCATGCTGACAGCGGCCGACTGCTTGGCATCTGGGCGGCCGCCGCGGAAGCCACGCGGCCGGCAAGTCGCGAGCCGGGGACCGCCGTCCTCGGTGGAATGTTTAGATCGCCCATTTCCACCGAACTCCCACCCGCCAGAACATCCCTCGCGAGCGTGCACGCCCTCACACGCACCCCGGGCCGGAACAAAGAGGGTCCCAGACCCACCCCCTCGTGTGCACAGGGCAGTTTCGGGGAGGGCCACAAAAGGCAGGTGTGTGCAATGGGGGTGCCGAGACAGACAGACAGATGCCCATGCACTGCCGCCGCTCCCTTGCGGCAGGGACAGGCGGCGGACGCGAGGCGGACAGACAGGGCGCGGGGACAGGCGGCCCGCGGGGGCGGGGGCTCATCGAGGGGGTCACCTTGGCGCGCCCGGGCCGAGGGGGCTCCTCTGGTGCTTCCACAGCGCGCGAGCTACTCGAGTCGCATGTCGGCGCCGGCGCCCGCGGCGGCCAGGGGCGGCGGCTGGGCTCCGGAGCGGGCCGGGAGGGCGCGGGG